TGATGTAGTTTCGCTTCTCCATTTAAGCATTTTCGATGCAACATACACGCACGCAACAATATACCTTCGTTACTAAACATCGTTTTTGTTAACATCATAATGATACTATTCACAATATATCGAAGATAACGTTTTTTTTTTATATTTTAGTGAAAGCTATGAATATCAAATTATGGTAGGATTTTTAAATAATAATTTATTTAAACGCAGAAAAACGCATTCGGTAATGCTGATTTATCATTAATCATATTTCCGGCTGGAAAAAGGAATTAATATTTTAGAGTTTTTTTAATTAGAAAAATATTATTTTAAGAGGTAGATTTAGATATATTTTAGTATAAAATGTTTGTATACATATAATGATGTAACGTTATAATGTATGTTATGTAAAGATCGTGATATTTGACTGAAAATTATTAATTTATTCTGGATAATTTCATTAATTTAATAACATGAACTACGGAAATGATTTACTTGCTCTCAATTTATATCAGCATTGTTGGAACTTCACAAGAATAGCGGTGACGTGATCGAAATACGAAGTGACAGTTTTGAGAGTGTAAAGTGTATTGTGCATTTACGGCGAATGTAAATGCGTGCAGTAAATTGTGCTATTCTGAGGTGACGAGCAGTTGCAATTTTTCTTAACGAGGTCGTCCTCGCGACAAAATTGAAATCGTGTTGAGTTGTCGTTTTACAAAAGAGAAAAGTGGATCTTCTTTCTCTCTCACTGCAGACCGCAGTCCGCACAGTTAGATTTTCTTCCTCCGTGAACGCCGCCGAATACAAATTGATCATACCTTTAAGCCGCGTAGGCAACCTCGTCGTTTTTATTGTAGTCACGTGCCGTTTTTCCAGGCACTTTACTTTATTTTTCCACATAAGAGAGATGTGCATCCGATATTTTCTCACCGATGCTTTTCTTTCAACCCTTTTGCACACACCGTGCCCTAGAAGAAAAGGTCAATGCTTCTAGAGGTAGTAGCACCAAGTATATAGTAAGTAGATAAAAAGTTTTTCACATAAATATGCTTTATAAAGTTGCAAAGCATTTATAAAGCTTATGTGTGTCATTAGACTTCAATCATTATAATTTCCTAAATCTCAAGAAATGTTAGCTATTAAACTGCTACAAATAAAAGGAAGGATTGCTTATATATATTTATAAATAAATATATGTATATGGATCGTTCACAGAAGGTTCTTTACTCGTAATATTCAATACTATTATATCACTTAGCGAACTATGACCTTTTTTCTACGACATCGTGTATAGATAAGCCTTCTAGGACTCAAAGAAAAGCCGATGTTAGTTTTTTTTCTCATTTCCGCCAAGTAAAGCCTTGGATGTATTTAATTTTTAGTGGTTCATATCTCTTTATGATTTTTTTTTTGCAACTCTATGCAGAGATACTTTTTCTTTTATAATCAAATTAACTTTTGTGACATTAAATAGAGGAGAATTAAATAAAGGACGAATATTAAAAAGTATCATCGTGGCGCATCTTTTGATGAGTAAATATATTAAAAATTGTTAAGTTTTTCTTCACGAATAGATAAAAACTGCTTTAATAAGAAACAAGTTAGATACAACTTTTATTGAATTTATTAAAACAAACATCGCGTAACAAGGTTTAGTCACGAATATTTATCTTTCAAAAATAAAATTAAATTTATAACAAAATTTATTCCAAGAATATGATTTTTGTATATTAATTAAGATAGACAACTAGAATAAATATTCACAAGATCATAAATTTCAATTTCTTAATATTACACCGCTTAATCTTTTTTATGATCAGAATTTCATGCTATTCGTCGACATTAAGCCTTGGAACACGAAATTAACAGATTATGTACAGATAATCTTATGACTGAACTGCTGTAATTCTTCTTGATTATGTGATACCATAAAAACTTTATGCTCCGCTTTTATGCTTAAACGAAGCTTGTTCTCGTTCTGGAAGAAATAAATATCGTCTTGGTCATCGTCATTATAACTGCGGTGATACTGTTACGTGATTAAAGATGATTAAAAAAAAGAATATATTTTATCCTTTCAAAGCTCTTTTTGATGAAAACACGAATAATAAACAAAAGTCCCGTGATGACTGGAGAAATGAAATTCTGCAAAAGACTGTTCTGTAATTCGTATATCGATTCTCTTGTACTATAACGAAACACGTTAACTTTCATTTTCTAATACATTGACACGAAAAACAAGCGGACAACAGTCGGTACATCCACTTTTTTCACTATCTGTCTCTCTCTCTCTCTCTCTCTCTCTCTCTCTCTCTCTCTCTCTCTCTCTCTCTCTCTACCTCTTCATGTCAAAACCAGTTAACGGAGGTCAAAGGTATTGCTCGGTTCAATTTATGTTCATATAGTAACTCCGCAATTCTACCCTGATACGTATATGATACATATTCATGAGCACCTGGCAATGCTTTGCACGAAGGACGCGCCATGGACCTCCTCCCTTTGGTAGATCGAAAGTATCCGTGTTGGTTTACCGTGTCGGTTGTGTTTGTCGTGTGACCAGGCCAGCTGTTCCGTCGGTGGCCGCTTGCGATTGAGAACGCTGATAATTTAATAGACCTTATACTATAACAATATACAGCTGTATTCGGTTTACAGTAATGATACACTGTTAAAAGGGAGAAATTTGTTTATATTACATTTAACAGAAGCAAATTTCAAGCAGATGGATAAAAAACATTTAGGTTGGATTGTTCCTTTCGATAAAAACTTCAGCTCATTATCTTACTCTCTGGAGGTGCGTTCCATTTCACGTATCATTTTATCCTTGTTGTTCATCGAATATTAAAGAAAGATAAAAGATACATCATGCGTATCATGCGTGAGATGAAACGCAAGCCTTACTCTCTTATCCTCTTACTCTTTTACTTTTTTGTTTATCCAGAAGGTAAATTATCACATAGTTTTATCCGAAGATGAAACAACTGGCCTTTAATGTCGTTAATGAAAATAAAGTTACAAATAATTTAAATCTCGAAGCGTTACTTAAAATTGACGCATCAGATTGGCTGACGCAACAAGCGTCCGCAAAAGAACGAATGAATGAGTTTCATTGCCTGTAACAGAATTAATAATTAAGTTTGGAGTTGTCGACGACCTATCATTCATCCCAATTTAATACGAAACAATCGACCTGCTTGCTATAAAAAGATGTTCAGCTGTTCTCTTTTGCAATCATCTCGAGAGAGTATCTTCGAAAAGGTGAAAAGAATCGGAAGTGATTGGAGCGTCATGTCGTGCAGGCTATGTCGATTGTGAACGGTAGAATTGGATCGATTGACTGGAGATGAAGGAGAGAACGGAGGTATAGGATAAGTTTTGATATCGTCGAGGTCAGGAATGGCGAGGTCAGTTAAAGTCAATAATGTCGAGATATCCAGGAAGAGGCTAAAGGTACTAGAAAGTGTCACTTTGTTGAGTTTTTCTGGGAATATCACACTCTTCACTCCTCCCTCCCTCCCTCCCTCCCCCTTCTCTCTCCCTCTCCCTCTCTCCCTCCTTTCCTCCCCTTTCTCCTTCTCCTCTTTCCTTTTCTAACTTCCATTTTTGTTTGATTTTTTTTGTTATAACGAAAGTTACATTTTACGAAAATTTCACAGCTTTGTATTTAAATCTTGATGAATAGAGAAGTGAATAGCGAGTGAAAGAAGCCTTTTCCGGTGATCTTTATTTTTTTTGTCAATTTAACTAATAGATCGATCTTAACATTATACATCTCATTTTGTAGGTTCGAATACTTATATTTTTTTATACTAAAATTTTTTCTATAGAATCAATTTTCGTTCTAAACGCGAAAAATTTTGTACTTGTAACTTTCCGAATTTTTTTTCGTATATTTTCCACACAAGTCGCGAATCTCACACATATACATTTCTTTCTTGATGGCCTTCTGAAGCATTTTGTGAAAAGAAATGCTTATTCTACAATTTTTTGTTGTTGTAAGTCTAATTCTATTAGACTATATAGTATTAAAAAAGGTGTAATATAAATTCCAAATTACTCGTAAAAGATCTTTGTGGAAATAAAAATATATTTTATTTTAAAATAGTCTTGTAATTATTTTTAAACATAAATTTAAATAAATATAAAATAAAAAATATTTGCGTACATTAATATAGGTATGTCAATGTAATCTAATTCTGTAGCATTTATACGGTTCGTCACAGGTTCCTTGCAATTAATCCGGTGCTGGGAGTATATCGCTAATTTTGATTGCAAACATATAGTTGAGATACAAATTACAAATTTGATGTTTAAAGTAATTTAGAGCGTAATTGCGATATCGAGAACAGAAAAAAATTTAAAGAACATAAGTATGTGAACGAAATAAAAATTATACGAGCATACAAAGAGGCAGATCGAATTATAAATTTACTGTGAAGAGTGATAGATGTAGCGACGATCGGCACTGGCTTGCAGAAATTCGAAAGTTTGCATATAGTGGCATATGATTATGACAAACTATGCACGGACTATTTCTCGATCAATATGATGCTAGACAATGTACTTTACGATATTGTATTCACAATTTACAGTGTACTATACGATCTTGTTGTTAGAAGTAACTGTAACATTTGAAGCAATTGGAATAATGTTGCAAACGTCATTTGACAAAATTTTTGTTTTTGAAAGTGAAAAGGATGGACTTTTTATAGAACATATAATAGCATTTTATTGACAAGATAATAATTGAACTTTCATGATTGATAAATTTATATACCTTTATTTATTTATTTTATCTTTAATTATTTATGTGTAAATTTTACATTACTGTTTACTGAAAGTGAGTTGCTCAACAAGGAATGCGTTACAACACAATCCTGCATCAAAAGTCGAAAAGACATTTAATACAACCTATTCCAGATTATAAAACTTCTATCTTCTCTGGTGCATTAGAAAATAATAGGTTTCTGAATCCGAGACCCATGCACGTAAATAACTTTTCGATCTCTCAATTTCAGAGGTGAAACTAGAACTGGAAGACCTGATGTCCGACATTAAGAAAACCGCTAACAAAGTGAGGGCTAAATTAAAGGGTAAGTTATTATAGTTCGGATGTTCCACGGTGACACGATGACATGTATTAAATTGATCGATCCCTCGCGATCATTAAGAGCATTTCATCAAGAACATTTCACATTGCCACACCCAAGCCTTATTTCCCATGTTTAGTGATAGAGCAAAACATCGAGCAAGAGGAGCACACCAATAAATCGTCAGCAGATCTAAGGATACGCAAAACTCAGCACTCGACGTTGTCTAGGAAGTTCGTCGAGGTGATGACGGAATATAATCGAACACAAACCGATTATAGAGAGCGGTGTAAGGGAAGAATACAACGACAGCTCGAGATCAGTGAGTATATGTATGTCGTGATTGACCGCATTGCAACCTAAATGCTTATTCGAACAAAGCATCTCTTTCCAATCTGTTGTCACATCGAGTTTTCTTTTTGGCGAATCTAATTAAATTTTTCTAGTATTATTACGTTTTAAGGTTTCAGTTTACTAGTTATTATATAATTTTCTTACATTTTTTAATACTGCAATGAAAACGCGATAATCATAACGATGTGTAATATAATTTAACAACTGTAAACAATAATTATGTCAATGAGATCAATGTTTATATTATCTATCGATATTTATGAAACAATCATTTCGTTCGTTGTATAAATAATAGCGCTAGCAACTTGACGGAAAATTGCATTCGCAAAGTTAAGTTGCGTTTATTTGCGAAACGAAGGAATTTCTCTATTTTTTTCCAGCGGGGAGAACAACCACCAACGAGGAACTTGAGGAGATGCTGGAACAAGGAAATCCAGCCGTTTTCACGCAAGGGGTACTGATTTAATAATTTTACTTTTGCATAGTTGTCTTATTAGTAGCTACGTGAGAAGCGTTAATAATTTGCCTTTTTTACTGATTAATCTTGTTTCAGATCATTATGGAAACGCAACAAGCAAAACAAACCCTTGCGGACATCGAGGCGCGTCACGCTGACATCATTAAACTCGAAAACTCCATCAGGGAGTTGCACGACATGTTTATGGACATGGCTATGTTAGTAGAAAGTCAGGTAAGGTTGAACAGTTTTATGCAAATTTATTCCGGAAATAGTTTACCTGTTTAAACAAACGATAATTATACCAGTGTTTTTTTTTTGTATAAGACATTTTCTCAATAACGAAATTCATGTTGCATGTAAAAGATTTTATATATCTTTTTTATTATTATTGTTAGATAACAATTTTCTTTCTTGATTTTTTTTGATTGATATAAATGAAAGAATAATGCTCTATAAATGAAAGATACATAAATTATATGCAAATTGTGTCATGTATCGCAAATATTATGCAACATATCAAAGATATTTATTATAAATATTGATTTACTTTATTATGTTGTATATACATATGATAAAAATCTAATTGTAATTAAACATTGCTGATAGAGATCAATTCACATGAGATTACAACTATTTTCATATATACAAATATAAATTTACCGTAGAAATTCATAAATTGATTAATAAATTTGACTTTTTTAATACAGTAGGTAATAAGTTGATGTATTATAATTGGAGAAAAATATAATAAAGAGAGAGAAGAAATTTAGTCTAATTGAAAAAAAATTTATGTAGCTTAGAGAAAGGAATTTTCTCGCATTATAAACATTTTAATTTAATTTCTTGTGATAAAATGAAGATTAAAATTCTGTTAATAATATTTTCAGTAATTTTCAATATACATTTTATATATAACGATGGTTTATTTTAAATGTATTAAATGAATTATTGTTTATTTTTTATATTTTGTTTATTTAAGAAAATTTATTTGACGTGATTTTATTTTCAAGCAAAGAGAACATTTTTGTCGAACTCTGTCAGATACACGTTTCAATTTATTTTTCGACTCGACCTATTGATTTGATTAACGAATGAGATGCTTTATTGCGAGGTGCTTGAGCGGTATCGTTTTTTGTAATTGATTGCACAATAAGCTACATATTAAAGTAGTTTGTTTTGCCGATTTTAATTGATATTATAATTTGAAGAGTACGTCCGCCTAAATTTTATTATTTTTGTATTAGTTGTCCGCGATTGCTTTAATACATCGATGATCCATAAGCAATTAGGAGCGTAGCGCGACGCAGTGTAACAACCTCTTTTCTTTAGTAATATTTCTTAGTAAGCCGCATTATGTGACTGCTAATCAAAGGGAAATTTTTTCAGTGCACTAAAATCTCAAATTTTTTCGAGGAAATCTAATTATTTATTTTATACATCCTTTTTTTATTAAATAATTATTACTTATTTTCGCTTTAATGTCTATTTAAAAACTTTTCCGCGAAAAATTGGAGGTTTTAGTTCATCGCTTTCTTTCTCTGCATGATATTGATTAATAAATAATAATAACAATAATATTATTAATCTTTATTTGTCGTGATACTGTTTGTCTAAATTTAGTGATCTTTTTTCGCACAGTGAGACAAAGTAATTACCGCAGTAGCTTACTTCGATAATTTACACTCATTATCCTTGTAAAGAAAACTAGCTTTTTGATACTGTCAGTTGGAAATACCAATTTAATAAATCACAATTCTAAAATTGTTATTCCAAGAAAATTTATAATATTTTTTTACTTGTAATATTTTTATAATTGTTAATTATATTTTTGTTATAAAGCAATAATTTTTATACAAACGTCATTGATTCTTGGCGATAATTACTTTTCTCCTTATCGATGCCAGTGTGCAAATTGATGCATGACAATAAGAAAAAAGTGGCGAACAGTTTAATCACTAGCCTTGCCTTACTCTTGAAGACTAACACTCTCTCTTCCCTTGTGTTACGCTGTGTGGATTCGCGCCGCGCCTCCTACCCACATTAGGGCGAGATGATAGATCGCATAGAGTACCACGTGGAACACGCGGTCGACTACGTGCAGACAGCCACGCAGGACACCAAAAAAGCACTCAAGTATCAAAGCAAAGCCCGACGGGTGAGTCCTCCCCAGATATATTGTCTCGGAGTCATTTCATTCGCGTCTAATTCGTCACTCTTGTTTTTTTCTTCCTATTATTCCTGCATCCCCTACCCTTCGTATTTCTTGATTCCCATTTTATTTTTTCACCTCGTTCTCCTCATTCCTTTTATATCAACCCGCTCTACTTATGTTATCCGCTTCTATTGGTACATATCTCGCTGCAATCTGTATTAATCGATGTACATTTACTCCACACTTACTCGCCTCTCTATACGTAAACAATTTAATGACGGCGCTTTCTTCCTTTTTATTTATTGTGTATTACTTTGTCGGTCATTCGTATTCGTGTCAATTCGCGCTCGTAAACGATATATAAATGTATATATCTACATTATCTATATGTATATGTATGTATCTATACATATACCTATACATCGCTCTCTGTACTCTGTCGAAACATGGGTGTGCTAATTGTGTGCCTCTGTCCATCAACTGCTCTGTTTACTACTATTACTCATACTATTAACCTTATGTTATTAATCTCTATGCTGTCGATACTAATATGGGTACGTGTGTATAACTGTGTCGATGTGAAAAATATGACGACGTGTATGTACCTGCACATACATGCGCGTACGACGCTGGGAATGTGGCATTCTCTTGCTGCGGGGATGTTGCTTCTCTCTCTCGCCGATTATGTGTACATAAATGTCATCCTGGGTGCATCCATCCCCGAGGTTGTTCCCCTCGACGAGCGAACCTGGTTCCACCTCGAAATCCTCCTTCCTTTCACGCCCATCCCGATCTCGAGTTCCGTCCTTTGTCCCACGTGTGGTATGGCAGGGTGAAATGATGGACAGCATTGAGTACTGCGTGAATCAGACCGGCGACCACGTCGGCCAGGCCCGGGGCGAGCTGATTAAAGCCGAAGAATACCGATCCAAGGCTCGTAAGGTAAAAAACATCAGACACCAAACACAGCTAAAACTAGGCAAATCTATTTCTCACGTAATATTGAGAAACGAAAAGCTTTTCGAGGCAAGGAGCAGATTTCGCGAGTTTCGGATTAGCTCGGTCGACATGAACGCTGCTAACTCATGGATTAAATTTAAGAAAGAAGTTGAATCTTTATCTGAAAGTGTTATCAAGAAAATACGTTTTTTTTTCCCCTTTTGTTTATCGACATCGCGAATTTTGTGAGGTAATGATTTCTTTGGAATCCATCGAAGAGTTGTCTTTTTCCGTGAGTCAACTCAGGATTTACTGAATACTTCTCTATATTTGCAATAAGGAATCGTTTCGCTTGGTCATCACAAAACGACATGGCGAATGAATAAAGTCCGGTGGAAAGGAGCAAAAAGGAATAAGTGCCTATTGAATGATTGATTCGAGAGAGATTTATTAGAAATTTTATGAAATGCGACGGCGGACTTGAAAACATTATCACAGAGTAATATTTTTCTTTTGCATCGTTATCATTTTTTCTTCTCTGCTTCGCGTTGTCTTCGCATAAAATCTTGATCTCTCTCGCCATTATAATTCTCAAAGTGAACATTTTCACTTGGAAACGCATTAACTTGACCGTACGAAATAAATGTTAAAAATAGCAAAAGATTTACTGCGATTTAAGTATCTGTCCAGAAAAATATGATATTTTGCTTGTATGCAAAACACACATCGTATACATACAAAAACTTCTATAAATATTTGTTTAAATTATAAGGCACAGAATGTGCGTGTGTGCGTGCGCGCGCGTGTGTGTGTGTGTATGTGTGTAAAAGAGAATCGATTTTTAATATTTTGATCAAATGTAATATGTATATTGTTAACAAAAATTTGCTTCCGTTACATGTAATGGAAGCAAATTTCTAGCAGGTACATTAAAAACATTTAAATGTCAATGAAAATATGAAGTCACAAGTAACTTAACTTTAATGTTCATATGCATTAATAAATTTTATTCATATCCACAAAGAAAGGAAAATTTAATGGAAAGTACACTAAATTTCATAAAATTATATGAAAAATACAATGAATTTCATGTATATGTACACAAATATCCTTTTCAATTACTTTAGATACATTAACTTTAATATAATGTTATAAAATTGAATTTAACTTGTGTAACTTA